TTGCCATCATACCTTCCTGCTAGAGTGGGCTGGACCCTCAAACTGTGTGACCTAGTAATCCCACCCTTCCTAACCTTGGTCTTGAGGGATTTCCACACAGCAATGAGAAAGGTATCCTTGTCCTATGGAGATGATGAGGGACTGAGCAACTGGCAAATCTTAGGACTTTGAAGCTCTTCAGGGGGGATTTGCTTTTCAATTAAAAAAACTATATGGAGTAATATATTATGGAAGAAGAGGTTATGAATTTGAGAGGGGATAGAGTGAGGACACAGGGGGAATTGGAGTGGGGTGGGGGAAGGGTGGAATGACATAAATATGGTATTGATGTATGACATTCTGAAAAAATTATACTCCCCACCAACATAAAAATTTATACTGCACGTTGTTGTATAACATATATGAAATAAATCAACAGAGTCTGTGTGATCTCAAAAGAGGGCCTTCATCAAAGGTTAAATTCTTGTTTGGGCCCACACATCTGACAGAGCTGAAGGGGAGGGGAGGGTTACAACCGTTGAGGAGTGATGAACAGGAGGCAAATAAATTAAAACTTAGGCTCCCCAGCAACGGGCATCTCCCACTTTCATTATTTATTTATTTGGTGCCAAGGGGACCCAGGGACTCCTGCTTGTTAAGCCTGTGGTGACCAATACTTATCCTCTCTTTACTGTCTTTCCTCAAATGATCCCCATGGTGAGCTCTCTTATTCAGTCTTCTGGTTTTGACTCATTCAGTTAGTCATTTGTTCAATGACATAGTCACTCTCTACCTGCTATGCTTATCAGGAGTCTGTTATGACAAAGTGTGTTAAATATGTGGAAATAGAAAAATATAGAGGTTCAAATAATATGAAGCCCGGTGTTGGTGGAGCACGCCTTTAATCCTAGCACTTGGGAGGCAGAGGCTGGCGGATCTCTGAGTTGGAGACCAGCTTGGTCTACAGAGATAGGTCCAGGACAGTCAGGGCTACGCAGAGAAACACCATCTTGAAAAACAAACAAAATAAAACAAAGCAAAAAACAAAATAGAGGTTGAATAGATGGCTCAGTGGCCACTGGCTGCTCTTGCAGAGACCTGGGTTCGATTCCCAGCACCTACAAGGTGCCTTACAACTGTCTGTAACTCCAGTCCCTCTTTTAGTCCCTGTATTCTCCAGGCATGCACGCGATGCAGGCAAATCATACACATAAAATAAAAGTCCAATAAATCTTTAAAACCATTTTGAAACCAAACCAAACTTCTCAGTGATGTTCTCCATTTGTTCTCTCCAAGTCAGCCCGTTTTTCCAATATCTGGAGAGAACCTTTATAGAAGTTTCCAGAAACTAACGAAGGGATATTTGTCTATAGTTTTTGGTGTTCTTATTCCACTTTTTGATGCTCGGATGCACCTTAGAAATCATATCAAATTCTCCAATGATTTTTGTGAGTCATGAAATGTGTGCTGTTGCCTGGAGTCCCAAGACAAAATAAGGAAAAAAAAAAAGTCTTCAGTCTCCAGCACCCTGTGATACAGTGAAGGGTGTGAAACATAAACAGGAAGTGACAATTAAATTTGTCAGAGGCTTCCTCTCACCTGCATTGCCATTTCATCCTTTACGCTCTGTATCCTTCATTAACCCTCAACACAAATGCGTCTATGGAAGGTGTCTCTGTCAGCACCATTCTAGAGACTGGGTGGGAGAGCAGACGGGAGAGGAGGTGTAGCCATGGTCAAGGCTACTCCTCCATGGACTGTCCGTTTGCTCTGGGGTGTGAGCTGGTCACGCTTAACAGACTTAGCTTAGACAAGCCACTGGTAAAAGGTGGTGTGCATTCCTTAGGGTCCTCCAGAGGAGCAGAACAGACAGACAGCATGTTAAAGGGGAGGGGTGGATTATTAGATTAGCTTACACCATATGGTTGAAACAGTCAAGCAATACCTGTCCCATACTGGAGTAGTTGCTCCATTCACAGAGTTGGGTGCCTTGGTTGTCCCAGTCTGGCACCAAAGACCTGGAGGATCCCTGGTTTGGAGCCTGAAGAGGACTGTTCTAGTATCAGTGAAGACATCGGCAGCAAAAGGATAGGTGAATTTGCTAGTGAGACTGAAGACCAGCCCAGTCCTTTCATCTGGGCTGCAATCGGAGGATGAATTTTCCTATAACAGATAAAATCATCAAAAATGTCCCCCACAGGCCAACCTAAGGCAAATCATCCATCACGGAATTGATGGTTCCACCTAACCATCAAAGCAATGGCATAGACTCTACCTGTGGCATTTTAGGACAGTCTACCTAAACGGAATAAAAGCTAACTGGATGCTGAGTGCTGTGCCGGAATTCACTAGGGGGAGGGGTAGAGGCTGGACGGGATGACAGCAGAGGAAGAAAGACCTCAGGGACTCCAATCCTGGTGAAGGTTAGCATGGCATATAACACGGTTCACTTTACCATTGTTAAAGAATATAGCAGATCTGCAGGCCAAGTGTGGTACAAGGCAGCCAGAAGAAAGCCAATGCAGCCAGGATTAAGAAGCCTGGGCATCTTGGAGACCAGAACATATAATAAGTGGTTGGTGTGACACATTAGAAGCAGCTTCCTGGCGCCAGGTTCATAGTAGGTCCTCAGTTCATGTCTGAGAAACAAGTCTATTGGAGGGAAATGGTCTCTGAGATTTCTGCTTAGATTGTTCATTAAGCACAAAGAATGAAGTCCCAGTCCAGGCCAACAATGTGTCTGTTATGTGCCCATGTCTGTTTTAGTCCATTCACACAATAATTATCAGGATGGCTAACAATGGATGATCTATTATAAATATCAGCTCTACTGCTTGTTAATTCAGAACCCAAACATTTGCCCATTCCCATCCCAAAGGGAAGAGTCTAGTTAGTCGTGTTCCCTATATTATAACTACAAAATTAAATTAAATGAACTGAGTGAATTGCATGGGGGTAAATAAACTAATTTAATTCATGGGATGAAGAATAATACTGAATACATCTATAGTTGAGTAAATAAGCCCATTAAATATTTTCTCTTTAGACAGAACAAGCCAATAATGCAGCCACAACAAAAGGAAATGAAAGAAGAAAAGAAAAAAGATTTTTATGTTAATTAAGTGTGGCCCATGTGGGCCCTGCCCCTGCCCTGGCTTCTGGCTTTCCTGCCATCCTGGGGGATTCTGGCATTGGATCCAGGTATGTTCATTTCTTGCCTTAAATGCAGTTTTAGTTTTTTAACACATAGATGGAAAGTCTGTAAGGCTGAAGGTGGCATGGTTTTATTCCTGCAGAAAATACCTAGAAAATGACAGATTTGGCATTATTAGTGTATGGTGGAAGGGAGGGATCCAGGTTTAAGTTTAGAGTGTTGCTGGTGCTCATGGCTTGAGGGAGAGAGGACATTAGGCAGGAAGTGTTATTTTTGGGATAACAGAGTCCGAGCGACTCCTTCCTGGGACTGGGTGAGGCTCGGGAGGGACAGGGACGGTAATCGCAGAAGGTGGCAGTGCACAGACTCTTGTGGAGGGGAGTTGGTGCACTGATCATTTGTTCTTGACCCTGCTCTTTCCTGATTCCCTGGCTGGGGCTAGGAATGGACGGTGTGGTGATAGGCGGATGGATGGACGGGACTCCAAGAGTCTTCTAGGATTTTATGGTCTAGTGAGTGAGTCAAGGGGGTGTCCACACAGGTAGCAGAACACAGGCGTGGTAAGAACACCCTGGAAAAGGGGCAGGTTGAGCCAGGAAGTCCATTAGTGTCTTGACCTTGAGAACTCCCTGACCATATTTTTTTTTCTACTTTTTTTTGGGGGGGGCACAATTCTGTACTCTGATTTTTTAGCCCAACTAAGTAAGTCAGATCTCTGTATTTTTTATGCAGTTGATTTTAAGCCTGCATATGATGGAGTCAGAGAAAGCTGGAGGTTCAGGAGTCCCTGCAGACTGGTTCCGAGTTCAGCATCATCATAGAGGGAGGGGGAGAGGCCCTGCGGCCGGGGTGTCCTGGATCAACGCCTGAGGCCTGGCCTGGGCCATCCTGGGCACAAGAGCCATCCCTGTTTCCACATCTGTGAGGTGAGAGTGGGGGACGTGTTTCTTCAGTTCTGGAAGCATATGGGTAGACGTTTCTGCTGTTACAGAAGCTCTCTTTTGATTGACAGAATTAATTAAACCTATGTGGGACACTTGTCAGTGGCAGGCACTGAAGTTAGTGACTGGCTTGTGAAGAGTGGAGATGGCTGTTCAGAAACTCAGACACTTTGTGAATCCTTTGATCACATGCCGTACAAGATCCTAGAACAGAGGTCAGGAACTCATGGGACTTACCCTGCCTGGAGGTGGAGGTCTGAGAGCCCATCTGAGTCACCCCGGGGCATGAGCAAGAGCATGATCTGGGGTACACTCTGATACTGGTGTGCAAACAAGCTTGGATTGTCCCTTTTCGACACTGCTGGACTTCAGGCAGGGACACAGAGGCAGGCTTGGATCAGAGAGGGAATGAATGGGCAAATTTGGCTAGGAAGTGAGATTTGTCCTTGGGAGGCAGGGTGACCTTAGTCAGGCTTTTGGGGAGAATAGTCAACAGAGATGAGATTTGCATCAGAGGTACAGAGAACTAGGTGGGTGGAGCTTGTACTGACAGTCTCTTGGTGACTTCCTAGTAGGTACTCGGAGCTGGTGAGAGAGTGATGATGACTGTAGGGACAGAGAAAGAGGCAGCGTCTCATATTTAAGTTATGAAATACTTAGGGTGCTAGGAATGCAAGAGACCCAAGAGGTCCAGAGACTGCTTTTCCGAGCCACAGGAGTTCATCTGCAAGCCCCAGACGGTCAGAAAGCCCAATAGGTTAGAGCTCCTGGGCATGAAGAATGCAGGCAGTCCTGAGAATAGAAGGTGAGTGATGTGGAAGTTCTGTGTATGTGTCAATAAAGCACTGTTGGCCAATAGAGAAGCAAGATAGGTGGGACTAGGAGTCGAAGAGAACTCTGGGTAGGAGAAACACAGGAAGTCAAGATGTAACCACCATAGGGATAAGAAGCCCGGAAACTTCTCCGGTAAGAGAAATACTTAGATTAACAATTATGGGGTAAATACTTAAGTCAGAGCTAGCCAGTAAGAAACAAGCAAGGCCAACAGCTTCATAATTAATACAGCGTCTTGTGTGTTATTTGGGGACTACAATGTGGCAGAGCCTAGGAGACTGGCAGGGGATAAACCAAAGCTGCTGACGAGGAAAAGGTTTCTCTCTACAGGTGAGTTGGAGCACAGGGCTCAGGCATCCCCTGGGCAGGAGATAAAAACAATTATTTTTAATGGAGGATTCACTTCTCTCTTACCTAGGGTTCCCTGATACTTACCTTGGATACCAACAATGGTACAAACCCACACTGAACCAAAAGATGTTCAGAAGAGCTTGGCATATCACCAGTGGCTTTTGTTCACATAACTTCCACAAACCATCACCTGTCATGAATGTTAGACTCTGGAATCTGTCAGCCATTTATTCCTTCATGCTGTAAATGTCTTAAGGACAGCAGCCATCCTTCGATTTCAGGCTGGTAGCTATCCCATTGCACTCCTGGACATCTCCAGTTTGCATCCTGATGGGGAATGTTCTTCTATATAAATGTTTTTCTTATTGGTTTATTAAAAAAACAATCATTGGCTGATTGGTCAGACAGGAAGGGATGTAGCTGGTCAGAACCAAGATATAAACAGAGACAAACAGGGAATCGCTCTCTTCTCTACAGAGACGCTGAGCAGTTATCAAGTAGCAGGCAAAGGAGTTGCAGGTCCAGAATTCTCCAGTAAGCCAAGACCACATGGAAGTACTTACATTAATAGTAATGGGATAATAATTAAGACAGAGCTGGCTAATAAGAAGCCATAGTCACTGGCCAACGGTTTCATAATTAATACAGCATCCATGTATTTCTTTGGTGCAGAAAAGGACATCAGGACCTGCCAGGTCAGAAAGTTCACATTACAGCATCCTGATAGGGATGGGGTGGTGCACCTGTCTCTTGCGTCCTGACCCAGAACCCAGCCAGTTCTTGATTCTCCTGCATGCTTAACAGAATCTAGCTCATACAAAAATTTTCCACCAATAAGAACTTTGTGAATCAATGAGTGAATTATAATCTTCATTGGAATGCTATCTGGATACAACATGGAGGGGCTGAATAGCGAACCCACATCCTGGTGTGCTGTGGGGATAACCTAAGACCGTTTGATCTCCCACCAGGACATCTCAGAGACATTTCCTATTATCTGACTCCCTCAAGGGCAAAGCTACATTGCATGCTCCTCAGGAAGTCTTGGTAGCCATCTATCACTCCAGCAGATTTGACGCCTTGTCCATCAATACTCGCGGCCAACACCCACTGCTTTCCTCCATCTTTCACCAAAGACGGATTAATATTTTTGAGCGGCTCTCATATGGCTGGAATTGTGACAAGGTACTTTACAAAATTAAAAGATATTAATTCTACCCACCACTCTGCATGATCGAGATTTTATTGCCATAGTCTAGGGTTTAACACAAAAGAGCCAAAGCCCATAAGTAGCCCCACTTGGGTGGCATGGTTCTTGTCCTCGGACTCTGACCCCCTTTCTTTGTTTATGTTTTACTTCTTTTGAGGCAGAGGCCCGCAGGAAGAGAAGACAATCGTTGAACCCTCTTGGCTCCTCCATTCTCAGTGCACTTCAAGGTTTCTCTATCAACGTTTTTGACAGAGGCAACCTTTGTTCACCTACTTATTAGACTCTGGCCTTCACTGTCATCTTTAAACACTGTTTATCTCCTTCTTCTCCTTGCTCTTTCTCCTCCTCAGCTATGTTACTTCTCTTGTTAGGACAAAGAATCAGTTGAAGGGAAGAAGGAGTTCATTCGGGCTCAGAGTTCGGTTTACATCCTGACATAATGGGGGCACAGTGGGGTGCTGCCAATGGCAGCCAGGTTTGCTCTCATTGCCATGGATGGAGGAACGCAGAACAGGGGACACCAGCACCCAGCTGGCTTTCTTCTTTTTCCATCTGTGTTCAGATGCACTGCATAGGGGGTCACCCACATTCCCAACAGCTCTCCTTCCTAAGTTGGAATCTCTCTGGAGACTTCCCTGCAGATGTGCACTAGGTCTCCTAGGTGATTCCAAGTCAAACTGACAATCAAAGTCAAGCATGACACACATCTGTGTGATACATGTCTGTCGTGGCACTTATGCATAACTTAGACCTCGTGCATGGGTTTGTTGATGCATCTGTGTGATAACATAACTGGTACTGCTTTCTCTTAAGGTGTCTTTAGTTTTCAGTTCAGTTTTTTTCCTAAGAAAGACTCAATTAACACAATTTTAAGAAGACTAAATTATCACGGGTTTCAGAATTACTTTCAGTACAATTGGTAATGTGGCAGCATAAAGTCGAGTAGTCACAAAATCTACTCTAACAGCATGTTCAGCAACCAATGTAATCACCAAGAGCGACACCTTCCAGTGAACAATCCCTTACCACAAAGCTCTGCCAATCATGGTGCAGAACTACTATGGTTGAGCCTCAGTAATTCTCACTTCTGCTGTGTCATTCATGGACTTTGTGACCTGGAACAGGGCGCTGGCCCTTCTCTGCTCCTTGATAGCCTCCCTCTGGTATGAGTCATAAGTTCAGTAACCAATAGCACCACGCCAGAGAGTACAGGAAGCCACATGACACGGAGACTAGTATCTCCTTGAGCTAACTGAGGCACTCCTTGTCTGCCTCATTAGATGACTGTGGCTAAGTGGCACTGAGCTGTTAGGACCTCAGTCTCCTCATCTGTAAGGCCTGGATGCCCTCTGCAAGCCCTCTGCAAGCCCCCAAGCCCTGCAAGCCCCCAGGAAGCTTTGCTGGCACCTAGCTCAGGTTCAGCACTTTGCTCAGTGGTGGGTATAGGAAGAGAAGGGTGGGCTGAACAGAAGAACCCTGAGCCTCACATCTCCATCCCCTTCCTGGGCTCCCAGAGGGAGCCAGTTGCTCTAATCATTCTACCCCCTTCTCAGAGTAGTAGTTGCCTTAGCCCTGGAAGTGTCTCCTTGTCTTTCCCAAGAGTGTACCTGCCATGACATCGTTACCTCCATGGAGCAGTGACATGACCACAGCAAGCGTTTCCCCCAGAAGCTATCTACGTCTGAAGCCATTCTACATTTGATCAAGTTCTGGTTGGTGGAGCTCCCTTCCAAAGCCACTTAAACATTCCTCCCACCAAAATCTTTAAGTGGAAGTTTTATGCAGCAACATGGCATCTCATTTGAATGATTATTTTTGAAGCCACACCTTGTCTCTGCAGCCTGTCTTCCAATCAAAAATCAACCACGTGACATGGAGTGATGTCTTCGGTTTACCCTTGTATTCCATGGAGAGGAGCCCAGCCATGAAGTTCAACACTCCCAAGATAGACACCTTGTAACCATTCAGACCATTATTGATACATTAAGGCATGCTTTCCTTGGAGTCACTAGGCACACGTCACCCCAAGTCCTCATCATGACATGCAGCCTGGGCTGCTCAGTGTGTCTTTGAACTTGTTTTGCACAGGTTTGGTTCAGGTTATGGTTCTGTTCTTCTAAGCCTGGGGACAATGGATGTGGGAGGACAGTGGGTGTGCTTAACGTCTGCTAGGCTGTGGTTCACCCTGCAGTGCCATGAGGATTTAATGAGCCGAGCATATGAGGAGTGGTGAGTTCATTAGACTGTAGGCCTACATTGGCTGTGGTCTGTGGAGCAGCTCTCCAGTCCAGGCTTCCTTCTCTGTGTTAGTCATGTCACACCAGAAGCCTCGACAGACCGAGGCTGTGCTCTGCACTCAGAAATGCTGTGGGGTTAGGCATCCATCCACTTTAGGAGTGTTTCCAAGACCCTGTAGTGTGCACACAGTGCACTGGATATGGATGCCTTCCCTGAGCAAGACAGGTACGGTCCTGCTTCAGTGATCAAGCGGGCAGGCTATCAACAAAAGAGAAGAGAGTGAGTATCATGGAGAATTCAGTGTAGAAAGCTAAAGCAGTTTCAGGGCTCAGAGTGATGGCGTGTGAGTGAGGACATGGACCCGGCGACCTGCACCTAGTGAAATTAAACTCGGCATCTCTGGGGGGTGTGGTCAGGGAGGTGTGGTCAGAGATGCGGGTATGGATGGCACCCATCATGACTCTGCCTAGGACATGCACAGTCACACTGCAAGCTGAATGTGGTGTGTAAGCCACTGTACTCAGTGAGGCCTGTGCGGTCAGAGCCAGGGTGTGCATTCTCTTCACATTGCTTATGGAGGGGCAAGTTCCACTAACCCAATGCACCCCTGGTGACATTAGGTGTTAAATTCTCATTGTTTCCTAGAGACCTAACTTGTCTACAGTAGGACAGTAACATGGCTGAGACTTCAGGACTTATCCTGTCTGGCATCCAAGCGTGAGAGAATTGGCAAAGATGCCATCTTGGTGTCTGCTGTCACCATCCAACTCCCTTCAACCCCCTTTACAGCAATTCACGGGTCAGTGTACTTGTCCCTCAAGCATGTCAGGCGGGCCTCCATGCCTGGGTCTTTGTGCTTGGGTTGCCTAGACCTAAAGGCCTTGGGGCTCCTTCTTACATGGTCCCTGCTTGAACCTCAGCTCCTTAGAGGGGCTCAGTCCGCTATACTGACTAAAGTGTACCCTCCCTTATTATCACTCTGAGCCCTGAAACAGCTTTAGATTTTTGCTCTAAATTCTTCATGACACCATTCCTCCTTTCATTGATTGCCTGCTCTGTCTGCTCTCTGAAATCCAAACTTCATCTGTCTTGTTCATAGTTAGAGTCCGTATGCAGTGCACTATATGGACATAGTAGGACCTCAGAAATATGCCTAGATGGATGGATGACCAGGCTGAGATCACCTCTGAGTTTAGCCTCTGTCTGGCTAGGCTTCTTTTGTCACATGAATACCCAGCCTTCCTGTTATCAAAAAATATCAAGTGTGCCCCTGACTCCTATCAACAGTGAGTGATCTGGAAACTTTGGCTTTTTTATTTACAGGGTCTCAGAGTCTATTTTTGGTGACTGGGCCCAAATCCCGACTCAACCCTTTGGGAGATGAGCACTCCATTGCGGAAGCTCTCAACCCTTTAGACTCTATCCTGGCTTGGGGAGAAGCAGCTCACAGTTGCCCTGGGAGCCCCACGCAGTTGATAAAGGGGAGCCTCAGTGAAGGTGAGGTGTAAAGATGTTGTGTAGACAACGCAGACCGTGGCAAAGAGGGCAGGGACAGGATGAACATACGCGGTGTCTGTAGATATGGTTGGGAAGAAAGGGCAGGCCTTCAAGGTAGGTGCAGGGGTGAAGCACGTGTGGACATATGGTTGGTCCTTTCAGTTATCACTCTGAGGCAGTGGTCAACACAGTAACAAGGGAAATATTGGACATGATACACAGACGAGGTCGTGGTGAGATTCATGGTGGGCACATGGGAGTTGCCACATGCCACCAGACGAGGAAACTAAGCAGGAAGGCAGAGTGGGGACAGGAAAACAGGAAATTGCCAGTAGACAAGAAACATCTCTTCTCCCATTCTCTAGCCTTCCCCTTGCAGATTCCACAATGTGATGGTGGTGGTGGTGGTGGTGGTGGTGTGTGTGTGTGTGTGTGTGTGTGTGTGTGTGTGTGTGTGTGTGTGGCGGCAGCGGCGGGGGGGTGGGGTGGTGTCCTCTGTATCTCTAGGTGTTTTGTGGAGCCTCTAAGAGGCTCAGTCCTGAGCCAGGATATATACATGTTTTCAGGGGCAGTCATGAAGAAACGGAGGCTTCTGTGTCTGAACCACAAACCATCTCTCCTAAGGATAAAATGCCAATACTTCACCAAGGCTCTGTATTTGACTCTGGTCTTTGGCGGTTCTAGATTCAAACGAGCAGGATGGCCATGCAACCAGGATTCAGTTGTCTCGACCAGACCCCAGTGCCTCAGTGGGCACAGGCCCTGTATTGGAACTCCCCCAACAACAAAGAAAGACCATTGTTGCTAACTGTTCAGCACAAGCCTGGGCCCCTGGTACTCATCGCAAATTCTGACAAGGGCCAGTTGTTCCTACAGTGCTGGGTTCTGAGTACTTACAGGGCTGTTTGTGTCCTAAGGATTGAGCCACTGCTTCCCCCCAGGCTACCCCCACCCTCTGCTTCCCCAGGTGTATAAGGAACAGTATACCCTGCCCCCCACTCCGTTCAGCAAGAGCCTGAGTCAAATTAATTTACTTAAAACCACACCAGTCTCCTGCCCAACTCCCCTCCCTCCCCAATGTGTGTGTGTGTGTGTGTGTGTGTGTGTGTGTGTGTGTGAACTATTTAGAAAGTGAACCAGTCCACCCCATACCACCCCTTCTTTTCATTATAGGCTTTGTGCTGGCCTTGAATGATAAAGGCCATTCATTTCTGCCCACGCCTCTGAGAAAATCATGGTATAGCACCCACTTTGGATGCAGACATAGAAACCTTAGA